CTTGACTCCTAGCCAAGTGATGCTCCCTGTAACGTCCTCTCTGACAGAGACTAAGGTTCATGTTATGTTACACATCCAAACATGATAAAAAGTATGACTCATCCCTATACTGGTTAATAAGTACCCACCACTGAAGGAGAGAGAGAAGGAGAGATAAAAGGCAAGGTTAAGGAATTAGAATGGCGTAGCACTACAAAGAAATATGGCTGAGCATTCTCCATTTCTATACTCCATTCTTTACTCTATGGAACTTTCCTGAAATAGGTCTAGGAATTTAATCCTTTCATTAGAAATACCTTATATGTTTTTCATAAATCACAGCAACTCGAAATCATAAGAAATCTTAGGGCCCAGTGCGGTGGCTCACGCCTAGCACTCTGGGAGGCTGAGACAGGAGGATCCCTTGAGCTCAGGAGTTGAGACCAGTCTGAGCAAGAGTGAGAACTCATTCTTGAAAAAATAGAAAAACTAGCTGGGCATTGTAGTGGGCGCCTGTAGTCCCAGCTACTTGGGAGGCTTAGGCAAGAGGATCACTTGAGCCCAAGAGTTTGAGGTTGCTGTGAGCTATGATGCCATGGCACTCTACCCAGAGTTACAGAGTGAGACTGTCTCAAAAAAAAAAAAAAAAAGACAAAGAAAAAGAAAGAAAGAAATCTTAGATCTCACATAGGTAATTTTTTTATAGAACAGGAATCATATCTACAATATATCTGTCTGCCATAGATGATCATCTAATGGCTCTCTGTATGGTGGTCTATTCAACTGTTGATCACCTTCCACTCTAAGAAATCTGTCTCTTATTAGATGAAGAGTAGTTGAACACACCCTTATGTGCTGCCCTTCAGGGGCAGCCCTGACAGCACCCTCCAGGGATGGGCCCTACAATCATCAGTTTAATCAGAAAGATCTTGGAGTAACTCCAAGAGGATTCAAGCAGGGTTAAATAGACAAGATGGAGTCAAATCTAAGGGAATATGACTATGAGAAACACAAAGATATGAGTTGATAATAATGGGTATGGGTAAAATTTATAGAGTACTAGTATAGAGTATAGATCAGATATTAGGCCATTTAAATGCTTTATATTTATGAGTCATTTCTCACAACAATCTCGCAAAGAATATTGTTCTCATTGTACAGTTGTATATGCACACACACATATACACACACAGAATAACTAGTCCAAGGTCATACACTAGTAAGTGAAAGAGCTACAACTTGAACCCAAGACCTTTGGTTCCAAAGCCTGAATCCTTAACTGCTATACCAGATCACCTTACTACCTGTAACTGAGAATGCCTACCATGCCAGGTATGGGTGAATCATTTAATCTTCATAACAATCCTACAAAACATAATCCTATAATCCTATTAGCTAAGTAACTTACCCAAGGTCACATAACTAGTGAGTAGTACTTAAGTCAGGATTCAAACCCAGCTATCCTGTCTTTAGATCTGATGTCTTTCCCCGCTTGGTAGTATACTCTAGGTAGGTGGCAAGAGAGTCTTATACAGAGTTCTGTCATATGCAAAAAAAACCTTCTGAGGAGGATGGGTGCCAGCTGGTAAAATTAGGAGCTGATGGGCTGTCCAGGTTACCCAGGGGATTCCCAACCCAGTCTCTCTTGCTGAGGATGTAGAGAAGACATGATCTCTGTGATCTCCAAACAGTAGGACCAGCTATGGTGGCTCACACCTGTAATCCTAGCATTCTAGGAGCCTGAGGTGGATGGATTGCTTGAGCTCATGGGTTCCGACCAGCCTGAGCAAGAGCAAGACTCATCTCTACTAAAAATAGAAAAAACTAACTGGGCCCTGTGGTACAGCCAGTAGACCCAGCTACTTGGGAGATTGAGGCAGAAGGATCACTTGAGCCCAGGAGTTTGAGGTTGCTGTGAGCTATGATGATGCCACTGTAATGGTGGTCACTGTTATCTAAAATAGCCATTACATGCAGGGTGCTACTGCACAGGCCCTGGCAGGACCAGATGGGCCCATGTGCCACCATCTAGAGTTGTTTATTCATATCCAAGGCCTTCTGTCATAAAGTTAGGAAACTGGACACTCCAAGGACCCTAGTGCCAAGGACCCAATGCAGGAAGTGCACTGAGTAATGCACTTAGTAAAGTAGCCACTAACTACAAATTTAGTCTAGAGTAGGAATGCTTTGAAGATAAAACCACTTTAAGATGGGGGATATTGTGTAATCTTGTAACCTATGAAGGGGAATCTGTTTAACATAGACTATGATGATTAATAACATCTTACTTTTACCGTGAGAGTATAAAAATAACAAAGGGAAACAGGACAGCAGAGCAGGTCTTTGAAGAAATATATTGCTCTTTGGGCTTGGGACGATTTGTGGCGACATGGCTAAACGTACGAAGAAGGTCGGGATCGTCAGTAAATACGGAACCCGCTATGGTGCCTCCCTCCAGAAAATGGTGAAGAAGATTGAAATCAGCCAGCACGCCAAGTACACTTGCTCCTTCTGTGGCAAAACCAAGATGAAGAGATGAGCGGTGGGGATCTGTGGTTCCTGCATGAAAACAGTAGCTGGTGGTGCCTGGACCTACAGCACCACTTCTGCTGTTACAGTAAAGTCTGCGATTAGAAGACTGAAGGAACTGAAAGACCAATAGGAGCTGTACCTTTTCAGACAACATAAGCCACTAATAAATGGGTTAATTTATGTAAAAAAAAAAAAAGAAAGAAATATATTCACTGCTCTCCAGAATTATTGACTTTTCTGTACAATAAAGTGAAACTGCTGATCTCTCGTCTGCTTCTCCATTCATTGGCTTGGTGACAGGCAGACCAACTTATTAGTCTGGCAACAATGATCTACCCAGGGCAACAGCGTGAGGCTCTGTCTCAAAAATGTTTGTTGGGGAAATTTAAAAAAAAAATTTTTTTTTTTTTTTT